AACAGGAGCTCACCCTGCTAACGCGAAGGCTGGACTCGAACCGCTGAAGCGTCGACCATTTAAATCTTGAATTTGGTGATTCCTTTTCTTCTACACTTCCCTCTCCTGTCCCAATAATACTGTCTTGCCTTTATTAGTACATAAAATCTAAATAGGATCGAAATGGTATGTCAGAACCTCTGCAATCAGGCAACCGTCCTGCTAGCTTGCTTGCTTCAGTCCTGCCATTATAATACTAAGAGGATGAGGGGAGAGCTGGTAGGTGTCAAGGGGTTGTCGTCTAGTTCTAGCAGGAGACCAGGAGATCATCAGGGACAGGCACGAGACGACCTGAGAGACAGAAAGGGGGGAGGTGCCATGGGGAAAAGGGATAAGTGTAACTTTTGGCGTGCGTCGGCTTCAGTCTCAGCAATGCTCTCGACCTGTAAACCAATCCTCAATAAACAAACCTTCCTTTGAATCCACAATGGTGTCAAGGGGAGTTGCTTCCATTGGAAGCTGTGCAAGGCAGGTCATTACACAGTAGCACTCCAGTAAACTTGGAAATCCAGCTTTCAATGTATCCTGTTTCAAAAATTAGACCAGTTAATTTAGAACTTCAAAATATTACGAACATTTGGAGTGAGGATACATTTTGGAAATGTGTGGTTTATTGACTTTATATAAGAAAATGTATTGAGTTTGGACTTCTGGGGGAGGTATGGCGAACTAAACACAGATCCGAGAGAGCAGAGATGATGACTGCAACGAAGACCGAAGCACTGGTGAGTAGGCTGGTTGTTCAGAACCTCTCCAGACAAAGAAAGGACAGGAAATTACCCACATGTGCTCCAGATGGCTGCTCCTTGTGAGGAGACCACAGGGACTTATAAATGAATTAAGGGTCCAGACAAATTTGGAATATTGAGACTTTTACTATAAGGTTTTGGAAATGATTATGTAAAATAAACAGCTTTTCGTGGGAACCAAATTGTTTCATCTATAAATTGTTTCATCTGTTATTTATAACAGAGATTGGGGACTTTATGATATCAGAAATTGGATACCAGAGGGACTAAAGACCCTAGGCAAAAAAGAAAAAGGAGAAAAAAGTGTAAACTTGCCTTTGGTCTTTGATTAGTATGGGGATTTACAAAATGACACAAAACGTTATAACATTTGAAATATTATATGATTTTATAAAATTATAATATTTTATAATATTTTAATCTTATTAAAGATTAATGAGAAAAAAAATGAATTTGACCGATTGTAGTATCAGGCTGCAACATAACAAAATTGAAAAAAGTGAAGGAGGTCTGAATACTTTCCGAATGCACTGTATATGCAGATGACTTTTCTCCTGTAGATATATATAGGAAAAAAAAGGAACATGTAGACTTATTGGCTACTTCACTGATTGTATTGGATCTTGGATATTAGTAAAGAAAATATTTCATATTAAACTGGCAATTTTCTCTTTTCTAGATATGCTTCTGTTTCATGATGAGTTCTCTCCTAAAGAAGCCTCAAACCACTGGCTTTGTTGTCTTCCTCTTCATTCTTTGTTTTGGACCCCTTAGCACCACAACCTCATACAAGATCATGCCTGCAGCTTTGGAATTAATTAATTTCTGCACATTTGCTTTTGGTGCTGTGCTTTCAAAGGTTGAGTACTATGCTGTATCTGGCATTTAAATTCCATCCTCCTAAGTATGGTAGAACATTCCTGATATATGATGATGGAGAGATTCTAGCCACCACTCTGCTATAGGTCTTTCTATTTCTACAGGTAGATCTTGTTATCCAACCACAATAGGGACCGGAATTTAGGTTGCTAAGCGATTTGGTCACTAAGTGAATTGTCATGTGACTGGAGCTCATTTTACAACATTTTTTACAATGGCCATTAAGTGAATCACCACAGTTGTTAAGCAAATCACATGGTTGTTAAGCGAATCGTGGGGTCATTAAGCAAATCCAGCTTCCCCAATGGATGTTTTTCCTGGAATTTGCTTAATGACCATGTGATTTGCTTAATGACCATGTGATTTGCTTAACGGCCACAGTGATTCACTTAATGACCGTCATAGAAAATTGTGATCATGTGACTACAGGTGGTGGTGTGACCGTTTGCGATGGTGGTAAGTACGAGTACAGGTCATAAAGCACTTTTTCCAAGGCCATCATAACTTCAAACCATTGTTAAACAAACAGTCATTGAGAACTACCTGTATTCTGATAAATAATCTACAAATATTTCTGCATAAATACAAAATGGCTTTTGATTCCATTCCATTCCTTCTTTCACTAGATTGAGTTCATGTTTAAGTTTCTAGGGGATTAAAGTTTGATTTGTTAAAGGTTTAGTTAGATTTCAAATATTTATTCTTCCCTGACAGGTGGGTTTACTTGTGACAATGTAGACTTTGCCCTTTTCATGCAGGTTCTTTGTTTTCAAAATATGGAGGATCCTTCAGTTTGTCACATATAGTGTCTGAATCATTTTTTTCTTGCTTTCTGATAGTGTTTTATATATGCTGCTGGCTTTCTATTTTGACAAGCTTGTGCTTGGTAAGCATATTGTGATATGATAATTAGAAGACTGCCTTTCTGCAAGTTCTTTGTTTCAGGTGTACTTTGGAATTGATCATGTAAATTTGTCTATAAAATACCATTATGAAAAAGGAAATTCTGATTTTGTATCTTATTTTTAAACTCATTTTTATTTCCCTTGAAGTTATTAGGTGAACTAGCAAATTGTACTGGAGACATACAGTGAGAGCCCAAAGGGAGTCCAAATGTTCATTTAGCTCTTCCCTGACAGATAATGAAAGCTCTAACAGTTGTTGTTTTTCCAGTTCTGTTTGTAAGTCCCATTCAAGTGATTCAAGGGCTGCAAATTTGTTGGAAGTGGGAGGAAGATTTGCTTTACTTACAGTTTTCTTTCATGTAAAATGTTCTTCTATCTTTGGTTGTTTAGCAGATTTTAAAGAGGAGAGAGAGCCCGGACTAATTCCATGTCGCGTCTTTCTTTTTCCCATATTGGTCAAATCAACTCGGACACTTTTACTCCACAATCATCTCATCGTAAAAAATTGTGAATATCTTTAAAATAATCTAATAGTAAGAATCTAATTTAAAATCTACAATAACCGAATATACTTATTTTAACATGAGCTATCTAAAGAAAAAAATAGCTAAAATATACTATTTAAAAATAATATAAAATTAAAAGGGCAGGAGTATAGAAAAACGTGTTGCTGGGCTGGTGAGCAAGACTCCCTCCCATATTTTTTATAATTTATGCATGTTAGAAGCATATAAGAATAGTGTTTTACACATGCATATTTTATATGTGCATGTATATATTTAAACAATTTATATAGCTGCCCATCTTGCAGTTTGTGACCCTGGATGGCTTACATAAGGTTACAACAAAAACAGAAAGTAATTAACAAAAATCAAAACTGAGATCCATAAATTCAAGGTTTACTGTAAATAAATGCAAGACTTAGCCATTGCTGCCTGCCTAAATGTTTGTTTAACATGAACAGAATGTATATAAATGAGATTTGTCATCCTGAGAGAACAACATCACTGGTTAAACACTACATGCCTACTGTGAAATTATCAGAACAATGTGAAAATGAGCTGAGATATATCCTGCCTTTAGTACATGTGAATAAATTTCCAGGTAATTATCAAGTTGAATAAATAAAAATGATTTTAATTGCTGTTTTCTTAAAGAGCCCAGATAGTTGAAGTCACATGATGTCAGCCTTCTTGGAGAACAGAGGATGTAACCCATCTTTTGCTGTTATCATTTTACTACACCAGAAGAAATATTTTATCTTCTGTTTTGTTCTTTGGGTGCTATAGAGATTAAAACATAAGAAATCACAATATAAAAAAAGCACATCTGTTACTTACATTAGAAAACTGAAATATAAGTAATCATATGAAAAACAAGATTAACACACTTTCAGCAATGATCATATACCGCACAGAAGCATGTTAATAATCTGTGCACAGATTACAATTCTAAACTTAAATGAAAAGGCTGAGAAAAAAAAAATATTTTTAGTGTGATTTGGTTTTGATTAATTAATTTAATATCTGAATACTGTAGGAAGCTGTGCCATACACCTTGAAGCACATTGTTACTTCCTGAGTTACAATATCTTATGGATTTTTTAAATATAGAAGATTTATTTCAAAATAATTTTCTGAAGTCAAAATGTCTTTTATTCACAGTGAAATAGTTCAGGTACAAAATAAAAACATTTCACTATTACAGAATGAATATACTATAGTATATATTTCTCATTATAGAAATACATGAAGGCTTTTAAGACCATATTAGTTAGTTGGCCTGTATGAATCAGACTTGAATTTGAATTGGGTTTAACTTAGTTTTGAGGGCAAAGATTCAATTTCAATTAAAGGAAGATTCATTCAGGCGTTATAATGCAGAAGCCTCAAAATGCTTGGAGCTGCTGTATATGATAACTGCTGAAAGTGTATTCATCTTGTTTTTCATATGATTACTTATATTATAGTTATGGCATGTATAAATCTTGAATTTTTAAGTCACATTGAATGGTAGACTTTCTACCAGTCTAATAAGACAATAGAAGAAATGAGGCTGAAAGAAAACTCTAATGTGTTCTGGTCCAGACTGAGCATAAATATTTTCCCCCAATTCTAACCATTTTTCTCTATAATTTATACTTTATTTTTAGACAATGAATATCCTGAAATAACTAGAATAATAGAATGTGAACTATTCTATTATTAAAAAAAAAAAAACTCCCTGTGTATTTGTAAAATATCCATTTTCACAATCCAAATTAGGATGTGTCCTAATTTAGCAAAAATCTTAGATGTACTATTTTAGATACTTCAGACAATAATTTATCTATTCATGGGTAAGAGGAAACTTTGAATCAGTTTAACACAGTGGTTAAAGATAGGGTGTAGGATTTGGATCAGGGTGACCCATGTTGATTCTCCTCTGAGCAGTTATTATTTCTCAGTCCAACCTACCAAACAGCATTGTTGTTCTAGAGATAAAATTAGTAGAGAACATCTCCCATGCTAGCCCCTTTTAGAGACAAGACAAAATAAAAATGCACTAAATAGAGCACACTTTAACATTTATTTATTTCAATCAGTTTTGAAGACTTTATTCCTTTTTGAAGACCCTCCCTCATATCCTTACTGTAGTTACTACTGTATAACTCACAATACACATCCCAACCAAATGGTTTTCAAGCAAGGAAAACAATCAGTAAATCAGTTCTAACCAACCCATAAATTATGTTTGTTTTATTATCCTTTCTTACTGGCACTAACTGAGAACAGAGCTTCACTGAGGCTGTTTCATGACATAATATGAATGGAAAATTCATTTGGGTTTAATGGTTTATGATTCTGGATATGGTATTGATATGTATTGCTCGTTTAACTTTTGATATGTGCAACCAAAATGAGTATTCATGTCTCACACCAACATGTTTAAAGCTGATATCTTAAGGATTGCTGTGTAAAGGTAATGATCCTCCAAATAAAAACACTTCACCTTAGAGCAAAGGATCAGTAATTAAAGAGACAGCCTATCTACACATACATACATACATGCATACACACACACACACACACACACACACACACACACATAAAGACAGAGCAAGATAAATGAACGAATCTAATATAAAAAAGCATTGCATACATTGCAAAGCCTAGATGGTCCTCTGGTTTTCACAGTAAATCAGAAGTTAATACACAATTCTAAGATCAGTTTTTTAATATAATTAAAATGGGATTCTTCTCTAATCTTTATATTGGCTCCCTTTCTATTAGGAAGAGATAAATCACCGATACTGCTAAACTAGTCTACCTTCATTTTCACCTGGTGACCGTTCAGTGAACAAACTTTACATAGTTTCACTATTTTGCCTAATTCTCTTTTCTAACAGTAAGAGCACTAAAGAAAGGAGTGTTCCCACTTGTCTACTTTTGCCTTTTCCATCCTGAGAACTAAATCAGATTATGGTATATTTGTGATTGAGCATTTTTAAAATGTGAAAATCTGAAGTGATCATTCAGTAACAATGAAAAGATTTTTGTAGCAATTAGAATGGGGTGTGAGAGATTGGAAGGGGGGAGGAGGTTAGAACACAAGCAAGGCCTTTCATATAGTTTAACTTGTTTTAATTATAATTCAAAAATTAAATTATGCAAAATTGTGATGGATTTTTACAACCTTAAATGAGAAGTACAAATCAGACTCAAGCCTGCAATTTATTTTTGTCCAACATTCAGATTTGTTCAGTGAAATGGATCAACAGACAGATCTAGGAATAGTAACTATGGAGTTACTATGACAACTCTGGAAGATGTCTTCCTGAAACTAGAAGGAAATGAAAAAAATTATGAAGGTAAAGTATTCTGAATATTATACTATCTTCTGCTGGAAGTACAGAAGAAAGTAACTTTGGAGTGATAATTGAAGAGAGACAGTGAACTGTGGAATTATCTCTTCCATTTTTTTCAAGATCTGAGATAAGGTACTAGAGGAACTTTCATAACAATGGAAAGATTTTTTTAAAGCAATGAGTGTAGTAAAGAGACAGGGGTGAGAAATTAGAAGGGATTGGAGGGGCAGGGGAAAGGTTAGAAAATGAAGAGTTTCTTCAACTGAAATAAGCATACTGATTCCACTTTGAAAATCGTCTTAGATTATGGAGTTCCCCATGAAGGGGAAGTAGAAGAACTAGGAAAGGATGAAATGGAAGAGGATCGGCTGTTGCTGTCAGAGATGGGAAAAGTGACAATGAAAGGTACAGAGGTCTGGAGACAAGAAGCTTTTGCCATTGCAAGAATGCACTTTTTAAATCTCAAGGGAGAGAGCAAAATCTGGGGAACCCTGTGCTTTTTTAAAAAAGTGATTTATTAATTATATATTTAAAGCATGTTGAATATACAGTCTTCTTATGGAATGAGAAGCCAAAATGCATGCTATGATTGTCATGAAAATTTGCCTCCACCAATCTTTAGCAAAATAAAGGTGTTGATGTGTGTGTGTGTGTGTTTCTTAATGATCCTTGAAGGTTGCATCCTGTGGTCCCAATAACAGGCCCAAGGATTATAGGATATGAAATATTTCTCCTCCAAGGCTGGAGCACAAACTGTGACCTCAGAGAGAGGGCATGAATGAACCCCTGGATATTTTCCCAAACCAGTGGAGTTTATTATTATCTGAATAGGAGATAATTGTACAAACAAACAAACAACTAGGACAAATCTTGCTGTGCTTCTATCTCACTTTTGGTCTGCCAACCAGATTCTGTCAATAGAGTTTTTGATCTGTAAGGTTGCTCTGCTCATGTCACACATTAGTTAATTATAAATTTCATTAGAAAGTACAGCTACTTTTCTCATATAAAAATACTATAAAACTATAAAATATACAAAATCATTGAGTGGGAAACACCTGCTTTGTTTTGTATCACCATGATGCAATATAAGCAATTGTAAAAACTTTTAAGACTTTTAAATAGAACTGCAATCTGTTTTCCTCAGTAGTTCAAAACTTAAGAGAGTTAATAAAGATTCCTTTTTCCTGTAAATAATGTTGCTCACATTGTGCCTAACTTTATAAATTAAATAGAATGGCACTGGTCAGATGTTGCATCTCTACTATGCTTAATCTGAATTTCTCTTTTGTTACAGTTCTCTAATTTCTGGAATCATTTTAGTACCTTATATACTTAAACTGCTTTCTTTGGTTTTTGGTTGAACCTGCATTATGTAGAGCTTCATCCTGGGTTATACTTTGAAACAGGAAACACTGGATTTCAAGGAAAACTCTGGACTTCTGATCCTTAATAATACAGGTAAGGGTGCAGAATATAATTTTCTTTCTTTTTTACAGTAATTTTATTAAAAATTACAATTACAACAATAAAGTAATACAAATTAAAATATAAAAGAATAGAAAAAGTAGAAAGAAAAATAAAAAAGAAAGAAAAATAAAAGAAATATATAAAGAAATGATTTCCTTATTCATCACAAGTATAAACAATTTTAGTAACTTATCACCTTCTCCTAAAATACAGCATATGATCTTTTCTTCCCATATCCCATCTCTTATCTATAAACAAATCCTTAAAGCCTTGTTTCAGTCCTGATATCAGCAAAAGCCCATTAAGGGTTGCCAGAGATAACAAGATATCTATTTTAACCTTGATCAAATAAACCAACTTTAAATTCCTTCCTTTTACTTTTCACTATCTTTAGTCCCTTCAAATAATGTCCTGGAACTTGATTTCTTTTCATTTTTTCTTTGTCCCTTCTCACAAAATTCTTCAAATTCATTGGGTTCACAAAATTCTTTTGTAAATCCAATATGGGAAGATTATCCAGGTTTGTTATTTGTATGTCCCTTTTAATTATTATGACATCAGCCAGTTTCTCTTGTATGTTTAGTGTAACATCTTTTTCCATGTCATTCTTGTAGCCTGTCATTTTTAAATCTACTTTCAGATTAGTGTTAATCTTGTTAGGTAAAACTTGTTCCTCTTCTATAGCATCTTTTAAACACAGTCTATCTATAGAAGCAGACACTCTTAAAATTTTCTTGTAATGTCCTTCAATATGTCTGATGTTAAAACATTTTGCTTCATTCTATAGTTATAAATCAAGTTGGAGTGTTTTTCTCCTTTAATTGTAATCTTTAGTTCCTTCTAGTTCCCTCAAGTGTCCAATTTTTAAAGTCGTCTTTTTTTTTTAAAGAATTAAAAACAAAAGCATTTTCCCACGGGAAGGATTCTTTATAATTAATTCCATTTCAAATTTATCTGGACCCTTAGCTCATCATGTGATGAACTGGCAGCCTCAAAAGAAATCACAGCTGATTTGCACTGTGCCATTCAGGGGGTGAGGAGGGGTCTCTTGATGTGTTCACAGCTAAGCATGAGCCAGTCTGGTTAGGCTGTCTAAATACGATGAATGAGAATCAGAGGAAAAAAAAAACCTGCCTTATATTTATTTCTTATACATTCACATATTACTTTTATGTAATCATTTAATTAAAGAGGATATTGAATAGTTTAATCATTCTTTGCAAGGATATTTGTTTGTTTTGCTAGATAAAAGCTGACTCTCATCTCAGGATCTCAGGACTCTTTCCTTCTGCGTATTGGTGTGGACAAGCTCTAGTAGACATTCCCCTGCATTGTGTTCTACTTGTTTCAGTGCTGTGGCTGTGGTTTCCAACTATAACTGCTGTAGTGGCTAAGAATTGACCATTTTATTATTTACATTTGGTAAGTTTAACTATTTAAATAGCATTTAAAATGTGACCTTCAATAGATTTTTATGTTTACACTTTTCCCTTATGGGCATCAATAACTAACTTAATAATGACTAGCAAAAATCCCAGTTTCAGGCCTTGAATGGTAGGCTTCTGTCTTTGATTACAAATAAGCGTTTCAATAAATGATTGAAGAATAGCAAAGAGAGGCTACTCAAGATGAGTACAAAGGCCTTGTAATCAATAGAGACGGGAACTCTATCTCCATAACTATTCAGGCAACATCATTCTAGACCAGTTGTAGCTGATACCCAGTGGGGTTGTTGGGGTGTGAAACAGACTCAGGGTAGGTGGTACCAATTATGCCTAGGTTAACATCCTCCTATCTTGCAAATGTTATAATTAAAAATATATTACAATCACACATTATTTCTTCTGGCATACAGTTAATTTAAAGACTGACAGGACAAAACAGGATGGTCTGGGAGAAAGGATACCCACTTCACACAACAAAAGCAGTCCCAGGCTAGCATACCACCAGGCAAAAACAAATAAAACAGGCAACATGCACATAACACACTGAATTAAAAATTATAACCCTCAAGGTAGATTAAAGAAATATGTGACATGCTGAATTTTATATAAACTTTTCTATTTTTTCCTCCATATGTCTGAACTGTCATTGTGCAGAATTCTATTTGTTCTGTTGTGTGGGATAATGTGGTTAGGAAAAGCCTGCATTCTGCCTGGATGAGTATTAGGTGACTTGGAGGTCTATATCTTCATATTCCTGGCCAAGAAGCCTCCTGGACCAATTGGGAGGGCCTGCTAGAACCTGGGAGTTGTGCTTTGAAAGGTAGACCCACAGGAGGGTTCCCTCTGTCATCAGTTCCCTCTGCAAATGGTGACCACATGATGTCGCGCTTAATGACATTGTGGGATTCGCTTAACAACAGCAATTGGAACTGCTGGAACTGCCTTTGCGAAGTGGTGCAGTCACATGATGTCGCACTTTATGACTGCGTCACTTACCAACGGAAATTCCGGTCCCAGTTACCATAGTTAAGTGAGGACTACTTGTATTGCTAATTGCTGGGTCTTGGTAAAACGAGGAGAGATGTAGCAAAAAGATAGTTGTCTGAGATAATGTTACCAGAACTACATACTCATTCTGGGCCATTCAGAGCAATAGGCATAAGCTTGTCATCAGCTGTCCCTGGAAACCTTTTATTAACTTGGGAAGAGTCTGCTCTTGTTCCCCCTGTTCTCGGCCCTCCAGTTTTTACGTGCATGAGCTGCAAAAGGAAGATGATCTATTTTTCCATTCCCAAGGCAAGTGGTACCTGTGCAAAGATGCTCCCCATTAGTCCATATGTTTGTGAATGTGTGTAAGTGTGAGTGCCTTGTGGATCTCAATCTCCCTCCTTGATCTTTATAGTTGTGAAGAGAATACTCTGATTTGTTTTTATCCTCTTGCTACTTATTTTATTGATGTATTTGTGCTTTACCTGCTGTTCCTGAATGTGTGTGTCATGTATGTATGTATGTGTGTGTGTTTCTTTATGTGTTCTTTGGTGTAACTCTCAAGTAGCATCTTGAAGACTGGAATTGTCTTTATTGTTCCAGTTGGGCCTGTTAGTGTCTAACTGACATGCCTTGAGAGGAGGAAGTCTGTGTTCCCTTGTCTCCCTTTGCAGTAAAGCACAGGAATTGCTTGTTAGAATAGCAGTTAGAACCTAGGTGTAAGTTGTATATCAAAGCTTCTACTGTATATTGCCTTCCAAGGATTGTGTCTCTAATGTTTTCCTGCCTGTCTTTTTCTTTGTGGTTATCTTGTTTTCTTTCAATTGTTCTCTCCACTGGGGTCTCCTATTAATCTATATCAGTGTTTCTCAACCCTGGCAACGTCAAGATGTGTGGACTTCAACTCTAGTGGTGAAGGCACCAGGCTGGAAAGCAGGAAAACATGGGTTCTAGTCCCACCTTAGGCATGAAAGCTGGCTGGGTGACTTTGGGCCAGTCCCTCTCTTTCAGCCCAACTCACCTCACAGAGTTGTGTTCTGGGGAAAATAGGAGGAGGAAGGAGTATCAGGTATGTTCACCGCTTTGACTTATTTAGAAAAATAATAAAGGCGGGATAAAGATATAAAAAAAAAAAGCATTCTATGTAAGACCTACGTAACTTAGTAGTTCTAGCTCTTGGCCCATTCAGGAGCAAGAGACCAATGACTCAGTTTAATCTGCAAGCTTTGGAACTAATAGAGCAATAATTTGGACCCTCTCTGTTTGCAATCTTTTGTGGAGTTGTTTGGTCACAACAACCATTAATGTTCATGACAATTGAGGCAAGTTGCAAAGTGACGAATTCATACCTAGTCTTCCACAGCAGGTTTAACTGCAGGAGTGAAAGGAAAAGAAAGAGCACTGACAGTACTGATCATAATAGACAAATATAAGCAGGTATAGTGACATTTCTTAGATGCAGTTTTAGTTGGGGTGGTAATTTAAGGAGTAAAGGCACCACAGATTTTAAGGAAAGGGACACTTGGGTGAAGAGGTTTAACCAGTTAAAACATTGATATACTTTCTTGTTTCATTTTAGGTGACTGTGATTTCATTTACAGTATTTATAATGCCTGTATCACATCTGATATATCCACTTGTTTTTATCCCTACATTTCCAGCTACAACTTTTTTAATGTTCTTAATGGTAAGATAAAATGTAGTACTATCTGTCAGCCTATTCCTGTGAAAATTAGGACAGGGTTAGGGCCTTACAAAATTCTCCATCATGTTTATGGAGAAAGTAGTTGGATGGAGAATTTTGTAAGGCCCTAACCCTGCCCTAGTTTTGTTTGTTTGGATAACAATTTCTCCAAAGTTCTCCCTGGGAAAGAGGAATTCTCTTCAACAAATAAGTCCTCAAGGGCAAGATTCTTCTCACGGGTGACAATTCTCTACCCATGAGAATTTCACTAACATTTTTTCTCCTGTATCAGAGGTTTTCAAACATTCTGTTTCATCAGACTGAATGGGAATTGGTAGAAATAAAGGCTTGGTACTAATCCCAGTGCACTTTTTCAGTGGAGTAAGCAATAACTTGAGCTTTCCTAAATTTTATAATTACTCTCCTAATTTTTAAACCAGAAATATACAACTGTCTTTATTTGTCAGAAGGTTTTTCACCCATTAATATCTAAAAACAAGCATACTACTGAAATATCCTTCCAAGTCCTGACTCTAGGTAACCCTGTTTTTTCCCACAGTGGCTAATCCTAAATTTGAGAAACTGACCTCAGGTTAAGCTCCCAGTTATAGAGTTGCTATCTTTTCGAATTCTATCTAAACTGTATTAACCAACCTTTCTGCCAATTTCCTAACTATCAGGGGGCAGTAAGGGGCAATTCTTCCCTGCCCTTCATAAATCCAATAAAATCAGATATGCTGGTCTGTGACCATAATAAAAATTGATTGCAAATGTGTACCAATAAAACACTGTAAAAAAGCAATGCTATTTACATGACTCGGTGGCGCAGCGGCTTAATGATGCTGAAAGTTGCCAGCCAGAAATGGTCGACGCTTCGGCGGTTCAAGTCCAGCCTTC